CATCCTCTGAGGCTGAGAGAGTGTGACTTGCCCAGTGGGTTTCCATGGTCTCCAGAGTCGTAGTCCAACACTCAAGCCACACCACCACCCTGGCCCTCATAGACATGTAGATAGTAGTAGACAGTATATATGTGTGTGTGCATCTCTATCTCAAAGGAATCCAAATGCCTGGAGGAGCCTAACTTCAGTGTTCCTCTTTAATATTCTTTCATGGCTGCCTTTCCCAAAAACACACTGCAGAAATAATCCACTTTGAGGCCTCTTTAACTGCCCTGGCTCAGGGCAAGGGAATCCTGGGAATTGCAGTTTCTATTTGTGGCACTAGAGCGCTCTCTGACAGAGAAGGCAAAATGTCTCACAAAACTCCAGTTCCCAGGATTCCCTAGCCCTGGGCCAGGGCAGTTAAAGCGGCCTCAAACTGGATCATTTCTGCAGTGTGTTTCGGACCTTAAGGGCCTGTACAGACTGCCAGAAATAATCCAGCTTGAGACCCCTTTAACTGCCCTGGCTCAGTGCTAGGGAATCATGGGAATTGTAGTTTTTTTCTGAGACATTGAGCCTTCTCTGTCAGAGAGCTCTGGTGCCACAATAAACCACAGTTCCCGTGATTCCCTAGCACTGAGTCAGGGCAGTTAAAGTGGACTCAAGATGGATTATTTCTGGCAGTCTGTACAGGCTGGTCCCAATCTCCACAGTTCTGCCTTCCCCTCCCTAAACTACAAATCCCAGCATCTCATGGGCGGTTGCCATGGCAGCCGAAGCGGAACCCCACTGCGCATGCTCGGTGTGGAGGCTGGACTGAGCATGCTCAGTATGCCTGGCTGAGGAAGGAAGTGGGCAGGTGAGTGCTGGCGCTGGCCCACAAAGGGCAAGGGATGGGGGACCCTGAGTTTTGGGAAAAACCTGGCTTTAGACTCAAGAATGGGGCTTCTTTCCAATCCCAAAAGGGCCCTTTGCAAGTTTACACCTATAAGTAAGAGCAACAGCCTTCTTTGGCTGCATCCACACTGCAGAAATGATCCGGTTTGAGACCGCTTTAAACTGCCCTGGCTCCATACTAGGGAATTCCTGTGGATTGTTATTTTGTAAAACATTGAGCCTTAACTGGCAGAGAGAGAGAGAGAGAGAGAGAGCTCTGGAACTTCAACAAACTACAATTCCCAGGATTCCCTAGCCCTGAACTAGGGCAGTTCAAAGTGGTCTCAAACTGGGATTATTTCTGCAGTGTGTTTTGGCCCTAAGAATGGGAAGGGCAGCCATGAAAGAACTGGAGAGGATACTAAAGAGGAAGGAAATGCAGCTGAACACTGAAGTTAGAATCTTCCAATTCCCAGAATTCCATAGCATGGAGCCATGACAGTTAAAATGGTGTCAAGCCGGATCATTTTTGCAGTGCGGATGCAGCCATGGTCTGGCTCCAAATGAAGAACCCAAGGATCTTTCCACGCCTCTTTGGGACAAAATATTGGGAAGGGGCTATTATTATTATCATTATCATCATCATCATCATCATCATCATCCTGCTCTTTTCCCAGGACTGGGATTCAGAGCGGCTTCACAATATTAAAAGTGCAATTAAAAACAGGGAAAAGGTGCATTAAAAAGGAATTGGATTATTACAAAGAATAGATAGCTATTACAAGAATAAAATGCATTTTAAAAAGATAAAACTGTATAAAACCTTTTAAAATGAAACATTTAAAATGCATGTGTGTATGTATATATGTGTATATATATATATATATATATACACACAGACACACACACACATATATATATATATATATATATATATATACAGACACACACACACACATTGTGTGTATGTATGCATGTATGTATTTGGATATTCTTGATTTTTTATATATATATTTGAGAATTTTAAATACATTTTTGTAAAACGTATAAACCGACATGAAAAACAAGAAAGGTAAAGAAACAATGAACAGCCAGAAAGAGGAAAAATAATGCCTTCCATTTTTGTTTTTCATTGGTTATAAGTCTCTCTCTCTCTTTCTCTCTCTTTCTATATATATATATATATATATATATATATATATATATGAGATCTAGCTTCTCCACTTTCAGACAAAAATGTTATACGTTGAGTCTCCCTTATCTGAAATGCTTTGGACCAGAAAGTTTTGGATTATTTTCTTTCCTGGATTTTGGAATATTTGCATGTACAGAATGCGATATCTTGGGGATGGGACCCAAGTCCAAACATGAAATTCATTTGTGTTTCACATGCGCCTTGTAATCGTAGCCTACAGGTCATTTTATGCATAATATTTCAAATAATGTTGTGCAGGACACAGAGCTTGTGTATGCCAGAGGGTCAGAAAGCAAAAGTTTCCTAAAGAA